TTCCACCACACGGTCACCATCTTCGTCGTTTGGCTTGATATCGAGATGTCTCACCAACATCGGGTTCCACTGATGATACTCAAAAGAAAATTCGACTAATTCCGAGTCGTGGTACACCTCAAGCAGAACCGATTCAGTGCTAGAAGAACTCGCAACAGCCTTACCCTTTCCCTTCGACGCCTTTTAATCAAAAGAAAAATACGAGACAAGAAAAATCAAGAAATCAAAAAGGAAGCTTACCAAAGAATTAGCGGATACTCGCACTTGACGAATTACTCTCGGATATGCTCACAAAGATTGATAGCAAGAAAACAATTCACAAGAATTCGAAGGCAAAAGCAAAGGCAGAAAAGTTCAATTGCATCCCTCTACACCCTATTTATACTCTGTAATTTCCGACCGTTAGGGTTTTAATTGAGGGGCGCGTGCAATCGACGCGAGTTTTCACTCCAAATGGCGCAACCCTTCATCTGACAAAACCTATAGCACACGTGTCACTCTATAAAGACAACTGTTACCTATTTTTGCAAACGACGCACCTTTTCGCATTTTACAATTAATGCCCGACCGTTATGTCCCCTCCAGTATTCCCAAGCACTGGCAAGATAATTCACCCGAAATTTCACAAGTGTTCCTACTTCGGCAAATGACTGTCACTTCGAAACCCACGACCCACTTCGGTTACCACGTATATAAAAACACATCGAGGTCAGTGCCTCACCTCATGACTAATTACCGGCTCGGAGTTCCCATCTGTTTTACAGTGCCGACAACCATCACTTCGTGTGCTCGCCGACGCTAGGGGCCTCTCTGTTATCATCCGACCCGGTAATCCAGGATTACTCATCCAAAATCACGTGCTAGAGGAGTCATCCTCGACAGTTGACCCGAACTCCGCTTACTCCGGTTTATGTTACAAAACCGAGCTTCGACCGACGAGAAGAAAAACCGACTTACCCCACGAAGACCAAAGTCACCACGAACCGAGGTCACCACTCCCAAAGCTGGTGATAAGGCTCCTACACGCCATCTTCACACATCACAAGATCTTTCATCATTCGATTGGGACCCACTCACATGGCCGCCCATCAAAAGCTACTTTACGAAAAGGCAACCGTACACCTCGAGATACGGACCCAAAAAGATACTATAAATAGCACATATATGCTCTTGTACAAGGATCGATCTCTGAACATTCAAGACATATATACAAAATCCGCGCCACCTTTCACCTCGGTTCACCTCGGACCGGGGCCATTGTTCGTGTTTTGAATGCATGTTTTACGTTCAAATCTCTTAAAATATTCAACTAATCACATACTCAATCGTTGTTAACAATCACACAAGAACAAGCTAATTGAAGGAAACAAATCAAAAGTCAGTGATATATTAGTCACTTAGTGTCTCACTATGTAAAATTACAAAGAATTAAAGGGTGATATTAGAAAAAATTATATTAAAATACCTAAGTTAGCTGAATAATATTTATGGAATGTCTGAACCTAGATTATTAATTATTAATATATCAATATTATTTGTCCAAACGTAATTACGAAGCATGATTCTTTGCCAAGTAGGATTCTGAAGCACCAGAAACAGTCACGTAGGCTCAGCGCATTCGTCAATAATATATAGGGAGGATTGTCGTTGTAATTCTATTAGAATATATTTTCGTTGAAATTTCATCATTTTTTTCGTAGGGTAAACTTCTATTAATGAGTCCATCGTTTGAAAAAAAAAAAAAAAAAAATGGATGGCAATATAATTATCGAGATAGAAATCGGGGTCATTCTTGGAAACTCATGCCTCGAAGTTCGCTTCCCACGCGGCTACACCATGCTTTATGTACGATATAAAAGGACAAAAGCCTTTACTGTAATCCCCATCTTATCTCTCTCTCTCATTAAAAGCCACTGCAATTTCTTTACTGTAATCACACGTAAGAAAACGGGTTGTGTAATAATTAGGCTTTTTATAATCTACTAGTACAGATCCAGTGCAATGTACGGGGTGCACAAAATTAAAGTCATTTATCACGTCTTATAATTATATAAATGAATAAAGAAAAATATACGGGATATATATAGTACGTGACATGTAATAAGCCAAAATGTGAACAAGAGTGATGCACGTGATGCACAATTTTAAGGTCATTTATTAGTACAGAGTCGGTGCGATGCACGGGGTGCACAATTTTATAGTATGTGTAATACAAATACATACCGTATGCACGGGACAGAAGCACTAAATGAGTTATTTCCACAGAGCTTGCCAGTTAAGTAGCTCCTGAACACGGGTGCACAATTTGTAGTACGTACTATAAAATTAGAACAGATTTCTGTACAATTAGATAATAAATAAAGCATTTTTTATTTTAGTAAAGATTTTACGTACTTTTTTTTACTTATCGGATGTTATGGGATTTTTTTATTAAACCGATTTTATAAAATATAATACAAATACAATTAGAGGATTGAACAAAATCAGAACATATTTATATACAATTAGATAATAAGAAAGAATTAGATAAGGAAAAGAAGAAATTAGATAATGAATTTTGAATCTACCTTTTTTTAGTATAGATAAACTTTACGTACAAATTTTGACTTCACCGATTTTATGAGATTTGTTTTGACAAAATCAAAGACGAACACTGAAGACTGTTTCTATTAACATTTACACTGTGTATTTAATATTTTTTTTTTGGCAAAATATTCTTTTTAAGTGTGATATATAAATATTAAAATTACTTAAAATATTTTATAACATCTATAAAAGCATATAAAATATTCTGTATTATTCACAAATAATGTTTGAAGCTACCTAAATTTTTCTAAACTACCCGTAAGGAAAATATGTATAAAAATTCTTCATTTAACCTCCATATATGTATATATTTAGAGAGAGCAAATGTGTAAAAAAAATTTTACAAATAATATTTAAAAATATCTAAAATATTAGTAATTAGGCAGGTGAAATTTAGATTTTTAAAAAATCTATATAGATAATGAATTTATAGTAGTAATTAGACTTTTATTTATTTACCTTTAAAGTTGTTACGATAGAGGGATGTGATTTTTTTGACTCCACCACCTCTCTGTACGTATTCTTTGTAACACGCCCATGTAATAGCGGGACACCAAGTCCCATAGATTCAATAGCAAGCCGCCCAGCAACTCAGAAACTCGAAGCAGCGAGCTTGTCAAATTGTTTTGTTTAGGTAGGTCACCTTTCTTTTTATAGGTAAGCAGCCTTCTGAACTCTATAGCCAAATATGACTTCTTAAGTTCGACGTTTCTAATGGTCACCATCCAGTTTCAACTAGGTAGAGCGTTATTTCTTCTTATTCTTCAGTTACAGCTTTCAAAGGAAGCAAACTCGTGTAATCTGCATTGCCAGAATCCATGTTGTATGAGGTTGACCTCCTTGCTTCTCTCATGTACACGCCGAGCCCCCTTTTTCCTCGGCCCACAAAGACAAAATATAGGACTGGTGGCAACAGTTCATGACGGGGCTGTATCGCACTATGTATCATTTGATAACCCTAAAAATCTTCTACTTTTGATTCAAATCAAATTTTAAATGGAGGAAATCCAAAGATCTTTGCAGCTAGATTGCACTTTATCACATAATTTATCTACAAAAAACACAAGTATGTTAACGTGACAAAAATTAATGCGTTGCACTTTATACAGTAATACGTTGCACCTTACAACACGAATACTGTTGCTAATATATTTTTTTTATAACAAAAAATAATTGCACGTTAATGTATACTATTTCAGAATGCACTCTAGCGTTAGACACTTCATCACATAATTTATCTACAAAAAAACACAAGTTGTTAACGTGACAAAAATTAATGCGTTGCACTTTATACAGTAATACGTTGCACCTTACAACACGAATACTGTTGTTAATATATATTTTTTGTTATTATAAGTTGGGTTATGAAATTTTTCTTAAACTCATCCATATCTATGCGATGAGTTTTTTAAGCTGGGTATATAGATTTAAAATTATAAAAAAAAAACTTTCATAAATCATTTGATTTGGTATTTTCAGAGAGCTTCATTAATTTAAAAGTGTAAAATAAATAAATAAAAAAGTACAACTGAAAAAGTTATAACCAATTGTATGGAGAATTAAACTAAATCCAATTTTGTAGGATGCATTAAATATTGATTAGATTTTATAATTAAAATAAAATAAAAAATATCTGGAATAGTTTTACGTGTTGTAATATTTTATATTTAAAAAAATTAAAAAATCTTATTTTACGTATTGCATTCCAACATTTCAGAAAATACATGGATATTCCTAAATTAATATTGCATACCCAATATTTTAGGAACTAATTAAATGCTAATTTGATTTGCATACCAAAAATATTAGATGCATTAATTAAGTACTTGATAAAATAGCAAATTATTAATTAGGATTGACCATTCTACATACTACATTTAGTAAATAGTATAGCTTTTAATATAAGTATAGATATATTATATCATCCGTGTACTCATCCGATGTGTATGTAATTATATAGTGTACTTATACTACCTCCTTTTTTAAATAAATGTCGTTTTGACTTTTTTGATTCATCTATTTTGCTATGTATCTAGACATTCGTTTTGACTTTTTTGATTCATCCATTTTGCTATGTATCTAGACATTAATATGTCTAGATACATAGCAAAATGGATGAATCAAAATAGTCAAAACGACATTTATTTAAAAAATGAGGGAGTATATATTTTTAAGTATTCTTTAGTTTTTTCACTTCAGTTATAAAAGCCCGCTTACATATATAAAATTCTGAAAAATAAAATTTATTACCTATTCACTTGCTGCTGGGTTGTGCACATATTCCGAGAAACAATCTTAATCAGCTGTCGGTGCGTCCAAATCGAGTTTGCGAGGTAATAATAAAGGATAGAGTTTTGTAGAAGATTATTTATAATAAAAAGTGTGAAAAGAAAAATAAGAAAAGAGGAAAAAAGATGGTAGAGACGGAGAACCACCACCACCACCACCACCACCACCATACGCCGCCTAGTCAGTCGGCGCCGCCGCCGGCAGTGGCTCCCCCGCTTGGTGCCGCCAGGGGTCCCCTTTACCCTCCGGCGGAGCAGCTCCTTCAGCTCCATTACTGCATACACTCCAACCCTTCTTGGGGTAAATTACTACTTTCACCATCTTCTTACAGCGAATATTCATTGAGTTTCACTCACTTAATCAAGTTTGTGAAGTTTTTGTTTTTTGGTTAATTTATTTCGTGTATTGGGGATTTTTCACTATTCTTAGGTGTTTGGTGTGTAATCTATTTTCATGGTTTTTACATGCCGGGCTGTGAAGATGAACATAATTTTGAAGTAGAATATCTAGTTGTATTGTTTTCTTGGTTCTTGTGACTTCGTATGTATAAGTGGGGTCACGTAAAGGATGAAGAAAGTGTATGTGCATCTGTGACATGAAAAGGCTTTGTCGAATAAATTAACTAGCTTTTTCCGACATGTGTTGGATGGAATTTTCACTTTGACGAATTCTGGTTTATTATTTTACTTGTCCTGAATAATGAGAAACTGACTATATAGACAATTTAGTAAGGCCACAGTTGATAATGGTGTAATCTTCTTATTCCAATATGGACAGTTTTATCAATCTCTTACAAATTTTCGCCGATAATAGTCCACATATACTTGCAGTACAAACGGCGATTCTGGCTTTCCAGCATTACATTGCCATGCTCGGGACAACTGTTATGATTGCCTCCTCACTCGTGCCTCGCATGGGTGGTGGACATGTAAGTTTGTAAAAAAACTACAATAACCAGAAGGAGCGAATAATTGTAGTATTTTATTAGAATTCTTTTTTTTTTTTTTAATTAATTGCCTAACTGAAAATGTTTACGAACAGGGTGATACAGCTCGAGTGATCCAGTCGTTGCTCTTCATGTCGGGAATAAATACTCTCTTGCAGACGTGGTTTGGGACTCGACTCCCGACTGTCATGGGCCCATCGTTTGCTTATTTTATATCAGTTTTGGCTGTCATCAATGATTTTTCCGATAGTAATTTCTCAAACGAGCATGAAGTAAGATACTCAATTTCTTAAATCCTAAATCAAATTAAATGCTTAAGCGTTTTAGAAATTATTCATGTCTTCCTCTGTTTATATGTACAATACTATTCTTTTATATGCTTGAGTTGAGTATTTGTAGAGATTCTCTCACACTATGAGAGCCATTCAAGGATCACTGATAGTATCTTCCTTTGTAAACATCATACTTGGATATAGCAATGCCTGGGGAAACCTTACAAGGTATAGAAGCATATGCCTAAAGAATTCAGATTTTCTTTATTTATTTATTTATTTTTTTCTTTCTTGTCTCTGACATCTTAAACTTTTAAAACAGATTTTTCAGTCCGGTGGTTTTAGTACCAGCTGTCTGTCTAGTTGGTCTTGGCTTATTTTCTAGGGGATTCCCCCAGGTACTTCTCTTTTACAACATCATTAAAAATGAGATTACTATGTAAACACATAAAATACACTTTAAAAAGTTTCGGATTTATTTAAAAACAGGTGGGAAACTGCATTGAAATTGGCTTACCGATGTTGATTCTCCTCGTGATCTCACAACAAGTAAGATGATATCCTTTTGCTCCTACTTCGTTTTTACGACTTGTGTTTCCAATTAATAAAACAGGTTAGCAATATGACAATTTTACACTACACGCAGTATTTACAGCACATCCATCCAGTTACGAGGCCCATGCTCGAGAGATTTGCTTTGCTGGTGTGTATTGGGCTTATTTGGGCTTTTGCTGCAATTCTTACAGCTGCTGGTGCTTACAACAATGTCAGGGAGCAGACCAAATCGAGCTGCCGCACGGATCGTTCTTTTCTCATCTCATCAGCTCCATGGTAACTTTCTTTTTCAGCATCATTTATGTTTTCCACACTTCTAGAAACAGACTTCCCTTGATTAATTACATTATAGGATCAAGATTCCGTACCCTTTCCAGTGGGGTACGCCTATATTCAGGGCAAGTCATTTGTTCGGGATGATGGGTGCTGCACTTGTATCATCTGCTGAGGTTCGTTTTTTCTGCTTTAAAAGGACGAGGTAGCATCTTTTTGGTGTTTTTGGTTTTGTTAAAAAATTTAAGCTTTTCATTATTGTGGGAGCGTCTTGTAAAACATTCGTCGTGTATTGTACTATAAGTGAAAAGCAGTATGTTTTTTCAGCTGCTGTAACGAAACGTTCATATTTGCAGTCAACCGGAACATTTTATGCTGCAGCACGGCTGTCTGGTGCAACCTCACCCCCTGGACATGTATTGAGCAGGAGTGTCGGTCTGCAGGTATGGCCCACTTCACAACGTAATATTCCTTATTTCTCTGAAACACTTTTGCAAGTATCACATGTCCATTTTCAGGGGTTAGGACAGCTGCTTCAGGGGATTTTTGGTTCTGCAGTTGGGACTGCTGCTTCAGTGTAAGAATAAGATTCATTGTAAAAATGAAAAACTCAAGTCGATGGAAAATTTTCATAGTTAAAATGATTTATTAGCTCGAGATACCTACCATAAGACAGCTAAATTTTGTTTAAGTATATATGTAATTAAGACTCGTTAGTCAATGTATACTGCTAATAGATTTAGTAACTTTTTTTTTTTCTTTAACATAAAACTGATCCAAGTTTGCTCTCGCATAATTAGCCTCGCCATTGAAATTTTTCTTAGATTGTTATTCTTGCAGTGAAAATGTTGGCCTCCTGGGACTAACTCGTGTTGGGAGCAGGAGAGTGGTTCAGATATCCACAGCTTTCATGATCTTTTTCTCAATATTTGGTTTGACCATTTTTGGCCTCTATATATTTTTTTTACACGTTTTTAAGTTAGAAATGCTGTTTTTTTCTTCTGGGGAATTTATCATTGGCTACGCTTGTTTTTGCAGGAAAATTCGGAGCCTTTTTTGCATCAATTCCTTTGCCGATATTTGCTGCAATATACTGCATCTTATATGGTATTGTAGGTAAGGCATCATCTTCTACTTACTTATTTTTGGTTTCCTCCTAAAAAAGTCACTGATTTTTTCACTCTTTTGCAGCTGCTATTGGGATTTCCTTCATGCAGTTTACGAACAATAACTCGATGCGAAACATATATGTGTTGGGCGTCTCCTTGTTCTTGGGCATATCAATACCTCAATATTTCATCATGAACACAGATGTAGCTGGGCATGGACCTGTTCGGACGAATGGAGGATGGGTAATAGTTTTGCATTTGTGTTTTTTCTTTTATTATTTTCTTCGAAACACAGTCCTAGAGGTTGATTTAACTGGAGGAAGTAAAAGGAAAAAAAATTATTTTCCATCGATTTTTGTGTGTGTGTGTGTTTTCCCTGGTGACTTGTCATATAATATTCATCTCCTTTTTGCAGTTCAATGATATATTGAACACAATATTCTCGTCCCCACCAACTGTGGCACTAATAGTTGGTGCACTGTTGGACAATACACTCGAAGCTAGGCATTCGGTTGACGATCGAGGACTTCCATGGTTGGTCCCATTTCATCGTAGGAAGGGAGATAGCAGAAATGAAGAATTTTACAGCTATCCGTTACGAATAAACGAGTATATTCCCTCCAGATTCCTCTGAGTTTAAGTTACGATTTTGTATACTCTTCGCTTCGGTGAGTTTAAATTAAGCAAAAATTGCATAAAATGTACTTGGAAGAACTTCTCATCTTGTAAGGGTTGAAAAAAGAGCGTTTGTATACATAAGAATGTTTGTTATATTTTACTGGTAAAGATGTGGATTTTTTCATTATCTATGTCAGCCTCTGTCTCTTTGTCCGCTTGTATAATTATCAAAGGTTTTATAGGAAAAAACCTAAGAGATAAAGTTGTGGTTGATGCTGAATCAAATCGAATTGAATAAAACTGTAAAATTTTGATTGATAATAAAGGATGTAAAGCGCAGTTGAAACTTATAATTGGGAAGAAAAGATAAAGGGTGTTACTATTTATCGCTTCGGATGATTTTGTCCTCTTCATTTTTTCTCCACATCAAAATGAGCTTTCTCTGAGGTAATTTTTTTTTTTTCGTCCGGCCGACGAAACTGGACGGAACCGGCCGTGTCCAACCGATCAAACCGAACGG